GAGGTGAATTCCATGTATATTTACATCTCTGGTACAGCATTCTAGTTGTTGAATGATGAATGTGGTGAATTCCATGGATATTTACATTGCTGGTACAGTATTCAAGCTGTTGAATGATGAATGTGGTGAATTCCATGGATATTTACATCTCTGGTACAGTACTCTAGCTGTTGAATGATGAATGTGGTGAATTCAATGGATATTTACATCTCTGGTACAGTATCCTAGTTGTTGAAAGATGAATGTGGTGAATTCAATGGATATTTACTACAGTATTCTAGCTGTGTTGAGTTAAGATTTTGGTCAACTCCTGGGGAATTTACACCCCTGGTACAGTATTCTAGCTGTTGAATTTTGAATGTTGTGAATTCTAATGATGTTTACATCGCTGGAAGAATATTATAGCTGTTGAATTTTCACATTGCTGGTACGCTAAATACTAAGGACAAATGTGAGGTATTACCTAGCAAGACAGTAGGAAACAAAAATGCTGTTAGGAAGAAGGACAGATGAATATCTAAAACGTTGTGATGGGGGCACCAGATTAATTGTGATTTCTTCAATGTTCCCTTAGCCAAAAAATAAGAATGAATTGTTAGGTTTCTTTAGGTTTACGAGAATTTTCCCGACCACGGTCAATACAGTACAAAACAAACAAACAAAATGACGCTTGCATCCGAAAGCACACAGATTAACAGGCTGCGTTGATGAAAAACGTCATTTGAATCAGTTGTCGTTTTTAAAGCCATATAAAATAGTCATAACAAAAAATGTTTTGCTTCTAAATCTTACCGTTGATAATAATCATACTGATTTCATATTAGAGATGCAATCCGGTGTCCATCTTTGTGGCAAATGTTTCAATAGCTTCGAGTACGGATTTTTATTTCATTTTGCAGTTTTTGATTAAAATAAAAAAACCAAAGAACCATGACCGACCTCGAATCGCTATAAAATTGACAACAACAGGATTTGGGGGAATATTAAAACAGAGAAAAACAACAAATATACCAAGTGCAGAGAGACTCGCAGAATCATGGATACGTTACGATTACGATTGTCATGGCGTTGCGACTCTTTCAATTGAATGTGGTGTGGGAGTGTCCGCGTTGACAGTAGCTCTGACATCTTGATATTATTTTATCTTTTTTGATATAATCTAAAATACATTTGTAAATGTTTGGGTGTGGATATTTTTGCATTAATTTGCTAGACGCGAAAAATGCCTAACTGTGTGTCATTGTGCGACTTCCACTCCGTGTCCGTTTGCCAATGACATATCCACCATGATGTCATCTCGTTTACTTGTTTGCTTGCTTTGGGTTTAAAGTCATGACAATAGCAAGGGTCATATGAGGACACTGCTGATATATCGGCTTGCTCTCCCAAGACCACGACTGTATGCCTTCCATTGATCTCTGCCGTATATATCTAGCTCAATGAACGTCTTCTACACCAGACTGGGTTGAGAATACATGGTAACTCACTTCTAGTGACGGGAACAATCAGATCTGCAATCCTTGTGACTGGCAGTTCGCCCTAGGTTCCAAATATCATCAGTTCTGTTGGCATCGCTGTATTTCCCCTCCAAAGACACCATCAGTTCAGTGTGCGTTGTATTTCTTTTCCCCAAGACACAATCAGATATGTGGGCCTCGTTGTATTTCTCTTCCCAAGAAATTCTTCCCGAGATCCAGTTAGTTCTATCATGTTGAGTATCTTGTCTTCGGCTGACCAAAGTACCACATCTGGCCGTAGTGTTGTGTTAACTACATTTTAGAAGACTAACCACTCACCCCAATGTCTACTGTCATCTGCCATGACTAACCATGTAGTAGGCTGGTGATTTCATGAGATGATGGTTTGGGATTTTCTCTTTTTTTTAACACTTATTTCCGAAAATTGAGCAAGCAAAAATGTAATTCATTATATTCGTATTTCGTTAGTATAACGAACAAAATATAATTTCCATGATATCTGATTTAACACACATATATATATTGTTAAAGATGACACTGAGATATATTGCATAATTGTATTCAGAAACATTTAACAATATAGATACTTTCGTTATCATTTATTTCGCATATGAACATTAAACTCTTTGAAAAAAAAGAAAAAAAGAGAGAGTTATTCGCTTGAAATCGTTTATTCCCATTATGCAAACAATGTATTTGAAGACATGAAAATTGCATGTAACTTTTACAAAATAATACTGTATACTGGATTGTCTGTCGTAATTTTGTTTCTTTCCGCTGGCTACGTTTCGATGAAAGGGCGCAGCCTAGTGGAGAGAAATTGTTCTAAGGTAGGTAATCCATTCTACCTGCATGTACATTGTATACATTGGCGTGTATATACTTTTCAAAAGAGTTTCACAACATCGTGGAATATTTTTAACAAACGAAATCTGTCTTGAAATGTACACAGAGCTGTGTGAAATTGATAACAATTTAATAATTCTGAATATTTAAGGGAACTATAACTTGAGTAGTATAAATCATAAACGAATAATGTTTCCTTCTCCAATGGTCATGACTCACTGGAAAGATCGTCACCCGTCAGGTTCTCGGTTCCCTTTTCACTGACCATAGTTCCAAAAGGAACACTTAAGAATCGACTAATCTTGATTAAAATGAAGGTGTAGAGATAAGTGTATTTACGTACAAGATTTATATCTTGTAGAAATGGTTAACTTTAACACTAGACGGCGAACGCGTCATCGAACCTTAGACTCATTCATCATCTTGTTTGACAAACTGAACAATGCCATTTCGGCAGAGGTCATGCCAGTGCTATTTGAAAAACCGAACAAGTCAGACGTGCGTTGAAAACCGATAACGGATAGGAATGAAAAAAACATGCATTTTCTAAATATATGGTCTGGAATCAACCAACTACAATGTAAACCATATGTCTAACTATCACGTTACACACGACGCGTTCTAGGTCCTTCTTCTCTATTCGTGCTCGTGTAGTCACGCGAGAGTACGCTATGTACAACACTTCCTAAGGCCAGATAGCCCGTTATTACAGCTTTCAATACACACGTACTGCATGTTCATCTGGAATAAACCACACTTGTTGACTATCTCGGTAGTGCTAAAACTGAACCCTAATCTGTTTCAACATACCAGGTTGGTTAAACATGTCTGAAACAATCAAAATAGTGATATATCAAGGTATTCAAATATGTTTTCTTCAGGAAGTTCGGTCGCAAACTAGTCCGATAAAGGGTAATGTTTGGAGATAGTGCCTCATTAACAAAGCGTGAGGTCTCATTTATGATTTATACATGTATATACCCCGATATGACCTGTAAGTAACGGTCATACAGTAAAATAGCGATCATGATCTCATCGTGCTGAAAGCAAAATAAAAAAAAGGATATGTTCAGTGTTTTAAAACATCAGGTTCACTCTATGGCGAGCTTTCGTTTTTCTGTCCGAAACAGGTGAATTGAATGTATAGTTCGAAAAAGATTCATCAGAACATGAATTCGCCTGGTTTTTAGTGTGGAGTATGCGAAAAGTCTATCTTTCTGCAGTAAGTATTTGTATCAGGCGACAAAGTTGCATCAAAGATCATTTGGAAATTTCCGTCAAATTTTATTTTGACATCAACGTTACATACTGCTTTAGTAATTTGAAGCAAAAAACCGATAGGAAATCATAAAAAAATGTGTGAAAGTGTTTTTTTGTGTTATGTATTCATAACATTTTGAGTTAACAGATTTCTTAAGGGGCTGTCAAACGGAAATAAATAGGTAGGTACTGGTTCTTGAGACACATTTTAACGAAACTACATAGCTTTATAGGTATACCAAGTTACCAACAGAAGTACCAAACAGGTTACCGACACAAACAGCAAACAGGTTACCGACACAAACATCAAACAAGTTACCGACACAAACATCAAACAAATTACCGACACAAGCTTAAAACAGGTTACCGACACAACCATCAAACAGGCTACCGACACAAACATCAAACAGGCTACCGACACAAGCAACACTCATGTTACCAACAGAAGTACCAAACAGGTTACCGACACTAACACCAAACACGTTACCGACACAAACATCAAACAGGCTACCGACACAAGCAACACTCATGTTACCAACAGAAGTACCAATCATGTTACCGACACAAGCAACAATCGTGTTACCGACACAAACATCAAACAGGCTACCGCCACAAACATCAAACAGACTACCGACACAAACACCAAACACGTTACCGACACTAACATCAAACAAGTTACCGACACAAACATCAAACAGGTTACCGACACAAACATCAAACAGGTTACCGACACAAACATCAAACAAGTTACCGACACAAACATCAAACAGGTTACCGACACAAACATCAAACAGGCTACCGACACAAGCATCAAACAGGCTACCGACACAAACAGCAAACAGGTTACCGACACAAACATCAAACAAGTTACCGACACAAACATCAAACAGGCTACCGACACAAGCATCAAACAGGCTACCGACACAAGCATCAAACAGGTTACCAACACAAGCACCAAACAGATTACCGACACAAGCAACAATCATGTTACCAACAGAAGCACCAAACAGGTTACCGACACAAACATCAAACAAGTTACCGACACAAACATCAAACAAGTTACCGACACAAACATCAAACAGGCTACCGACACAAGCATCAAACAGGCTACCGACACAAACAGCAAACAGGTTACCGACACAAACATCAAACAAGTTACCGACACAAACATCAAACAGGCTACCGACACAAGCATCAAACAGGCTACCGACACAAGCATCAATCATGTTACCAACACAAGCACCAAACAGATTACCGACACAAGCAACAATCATGTTACCACCACAAGCAGCAAACAAGTTACCGACACAAGAAACAATCATGTTACCAACACAAGCAACAATCATGTTACCGACACAAACATCAAACAGGCTACCGACCCAAGCATCAAACAGGCTACCGACACAAGCATCAATCATGTTACCAACACAAGCACCAAACAGATTCCCGACACAAGCAACAATCATGTTACCGACACAAACATCAAACAGGTTACCGACACAAGCAACAATAGTTACCGACACAAACATCAAACAGGCTACCGACCCAAGCATCAAACAGGCTACCGACACAAGCATCAATCATGTTACCAACACAAGCACCAAACAGATTCCCGACACAAGCAACAATCATGTTACCGACACAAGCATCAAACAAGTTACCGACACAAGCAACAATCATGTTACCAACCCAAGCATCAAACAAGTTACCGACACAAACATCAAACAGGCTACCGACACAAGCAACAATCATGTTACCAACACAACCAAAAAACATGTTACAGACACAAATATCAAACAGGTAACCGACACAAGCAACAGTCAGGTTACCGACACAAACACCAAACAGGCTACCGACACAAGCAACAATCATGTTACCGACACAAGCAACAATCATGTTACCGACAGAAGCACCAAACAGGTTACCGACACAAACATCAAACAAGTTACCAACACAAACATCAAACAGGCTACCGACACAAGCAACACTCATGTTACCAACAGAAGTACCAAACAGGTTACCGACACTAACACCAAACACGTTACCGACACAAACATCAAACAGGCTACCGACCCAAGCATCAAACAGGCTACCGACACAAGCATCAATCATGTTACCGACACAAACACCAAACAGGTTACCGACACAAGCATCAAACAGGCTACCGACACAAGCATCAATCATGTTACCAACACAAACACCAAACAGATTACCGACACAAGCAACAATCATGTTACCAACAGAAGCACCAAACAGGTTACCGACACAAACATCAAACAAGTTACCGACACAAACACCAAACAAGTTACCGACACAAACATCAAACAGGCTACCGACCCAAGCATCAAACAGGCTACCGACACAAGCATCAATCATGTTACCAACACAAGCACCAAACAGATTACCGACGCAAGCAACAATCATGTTACCAACACAAGCACCAAACAGGTTACCGACACAAACAGCAAACAAGTTCCCGACACAAACATCAAACAGGCTACCGACCCAAGCATCAAACAGGCTACCGACACAAGCATCAATCATGTTACCAACACAAGCACCAAACAGATTACCGACACAAGAAACAATCATGTTACCAACACAAGCAACAATCATGTTACCGACACAAACATCAAACAGGTTACCGACACAAACAGCAAACAGTTTACCGACACAAGCAACAATCATGTTACCGACAGAAGCACCAAACAGGTTACCGACACAAACATCAAACAGGCTACCGACCCAAGCATCAAACAGGCTACCGACACAAGCATCAATCATGTTACCGACACAAACACCAAACAGGCTCCCGCCACAAGCAACAATCATGTTACCGACACAAGCACCAAACAGGTTACCGACACAAGCAACAATCATGTTACCGACACAAACACCAAACAGGATACCGACACAAGAAACAATCATGTTACCGACACAAACACCAAACAGGTTACCGACACAAACACCAAACAGGTTACCGACACAAGCAACAATCATGTTACCGACACAAACACCAAACAGGCTACCGACACAAGCAACAATCATGTTACCAACACAAGCAACAAACAGGTTACCGACACAAACACCAAACAGGTTACCGACACAAGCAACAATAATGTTACCGACACCAGCAACAATCATGTAACCGACACAAACACCAAACAGGTTACCGACACAAGCAACAATCATGTTACCACCACAAGCAGCAAACAAGTTACCGACACAAGCAACAATCATGTTACCAACACAAGCATTAAACAAGTTACCGACACAAGCAACAATCATGTTACCGACACAAACACCCAACAAGTTGCCGACACAAGCAACAATCATGTTACCGACACAAACACTAAACAGGTTACCGACACAAACACCAAACAGGATACCGACACAATCAACAATCATGTTACCGACACAAGCAACAAACAGGTTACCGACACAAACATCAAACAGGTTACCGACACAAGCAACAATAGTTACCGACACAAACATCAAACAGGCTACCGACACAAGCAACAATCATGTTACCGACACAAACACAAAACAGGTTCCCGACACAAACACTAAACAGGTTACCGACACAAACACCAAACAGGTTACCGACACAAGCAACAATCAAGTTACCGACACAAGCAACAAACATGTTACCGACACAAAACATCAAACAGGTTACCGACACAAACATCAAACAGGTTACCGACACAAGCACCAACCAGGTTACCGACACAAGCACCAAACAGGTTACCGACACAAACATCAAACAGGTTACCGACACAAACACCAAACAGGTTACCGACACAAACACTAAACAGGTTACCGACACAAACATGAAACAGGTTACCGACACAAGCAACAATCATGTTACCGATACAAACACCAAAAAGGCTACCGATGCAAGCCACAATCATGTTACCGACCCAAACGCCACTTGTATAACTAGGTGTTATCAACTCAATTACAAACTATGTGAACGACGGAGGTTAACTATATACGTCAGTAATATTGCACTGAATTAACCGTTAAATCCAGCGAGGGAACCTTTTGCCTTTTCATGTTATGTATGACAGATACTGTCATCCGGAACCTCTCTGAACCCTGGACCGTACCGCTGTGTAACTAGGAGGGGCGGCAGATGACATGTTAGATATCAGAAAACAGATAGACACTGCGCACCGACTTAATCTCACGTCATTTGATTAAGTGACAACAAATTTGCCTGTCACTCTTTAGGCTCTTATTTTCTAAACAACATTTCCCTGCAATTACTCTATTCTTCTGTCGGGTTGTGTTCACAGGAATGTATGGCGGTCCTGATGAAGTCTGGGAATGATCACTTATACCGAGCATTGTTCGCTTGAACCAATACTAATTTTGTTCTGACAACTGAAAAACAAAACAGATCACATAAATCGCATATATAACCGATTAGTTAACAAGATAATAATGATGTATACCCAAAGTACTTTAAGAAAAGTTTCTATTTTCTTTTAGAGTAGAATAATCTCTTCAAGGGTTATATGTCGGTGAACCCGCATGGTAGGCCTGATAGGGCGTGCTGATCAATGCTACTCCGGGACAGACCATTCCAGACCCGTTACTGTTCAATCAACGGAGATGAGTGGGCCTGGATAGCAAGATGTCACTCAATGTTGTATTTCAATTGCCACCGCTCTTCATCAGATGTCGATTACATGTCAGTATGCTAACCTGTACTAGAATTATTTGCCGCGGTTTTCGCTGAACCACCGATAGCCTCTATCCATATCCTGATTCTGTTCCAAAGTCGTGTAAACACTATTAAACCGTCCTGACAAACCGAGACATGATAAAAGTCCTTTATCGGGATTAACCGCCGACTGTTACTCGAAAGTCCATGGATTGTAAAAACACATTATGTGGCTTTAAGTACACAATACCTTTTGTAATATGGTTTTCATGGTAACTGGATAGACCGTATATGTCCTTTTGTGAGGTAAATTCTCTGTCCCTACTGTGTTTTTATCGCCAATAAAGGTTTGGAATTTCACAATAACGTTTCAAGGTAGAATGCTTCTCGTTATCAACTTTGTTGAATTATGTCGGTACATGTTTTATGAGGCTATTTCCAAAATGTGGATTGCTCCACCTGATTGCGAACTATTTTGCGCTAATTGCAAGAGTACTTTTGAAGACGCAATCGCCCATTGTTTTTTAGACTGTGGCGAATTAGAATGAGCAAATTTGCGGGATACATTTTTGATGAATTTTGTAAATAAATATCCTGTGTATGTTTATGTGTCTTTCGACCAGTCAGACAGAGAACTCCAGGTGGCTACTCTGCTGGGTGCTCCAAGCGATATTATTTGTGATACTCTTAATGACGATGTTAAATCGCTCACGTCTTTTATCAAAGATTGCCTAATATTTGCGGAAAAAGCGTTCTTTATGACCTTCCGATAAATCTAGCTAATTTTGTAGCAGTCATTGCAATGAGTCTTCCTTTAACCACTTTTCATTGACTTATGACGTGTCTTTACATTTTTTCAATATGTGATTATGAGATGATATCAATATCAATTGTATCTCAATTTTTGTCTGCACCATTTTTTTTGTTCTCATGTCACTTGCACTCACCGTTATCATCCACATTGTACTCTTCATTATTTTGGAGGAAATAAAGATATAAATGAATGAATGAATTATGTCGGTACATGTTTTATGAGACTATCATGTAATTCTGAGATTGAGGTGGGCGGGCGGGCGGGCGGGCGTGGATGGTGGGTGGGAAATGGGGAAGAAGAATTTAGAAATGTATGTTCTGGCCTTGCCTTTCAAGTTAATAAATGATCTTGCATTCATAAAGGTGAAAATAAATCTGTTCTGCCGAAACTAAAACCCGTACCAATAGTTCTTGTCTCTCGCTTTGCACTGCGTATAGCACTGAAAATATACTTGAAACTCTACCATGCATGCTTTTGTGATACTTACTTTTCAAATTCATACCAACAAAATGTTATAAATACCAGTGATCCTTGTGAAATATACGTCTCTAGTAGTGATCAAATTAACAGCGGTAGCAAAATGAAACTAGTTCCGCACAACCATGATCACGTGTTGAAATCCTTTAGTTTTAATACATACGTAAATAATTTTGTGAAAATAATGGCATGTATTAACAACTACTTCATTATAAAAATAGATATTTTGATTTGTTATCATTGGCAGTTAATTGATAAATCATTGACGCCTGCCATTTCCCATCCAATAATTTATCCTTGAAATTCAAAGGAGCCCAACCTTCCATTTAGAGCTACAGAAAACACTTGTAAATGGAAAGTAAAATTGAAGATAACTCTTAAACAAGGGTAAGGTGCACTTGAGATGTACGGTAGCTTAAACTAAATGATATATATGTAGTTCACTGAGACGTATACAAAGAACGCCTCCAAATCAGTTTAGATACTTACTCATTTTATGTCTCCAAGCAATATGATATATAACCGCTATAATATATCCACTGTGAACAACATTCTTAAATACACATCACGCGCAGGATTAAGTATTGTGTTGTAATTCAGAATTCTAACCGGTCCCTTTTTCCTATTGTCTAATGTTTCTTGAAAAGTCAAAATCACAACTTGTGGTTTAAGAAAAAGAAAGGTACCTATAAGACTATTAAAAGGCCCGAAATCTCACAAAAGACATCTGAATGTTCTTCAGTTCATTAGATATGCGATTTTGGCAATGATCCTACATGTACCATCACCAAATCCTCTAGACTCTAGCGCGTGATGGTTATTGGACTGACAACCAAACAAAATAAGATTAAAATTTACCCGAAATTGTTGTCATTTGACTTAAGTTGATAAGAACGTTTTTCTCATTTTTATGATCAACTATGATGATGTCGAATAGGTGACATACACTCCCACACGAGATGTAGGGCCAGAAAGCTTATACATTTTGTACGACAGTTTCAGTACGCAGCAACGGAGTCCATGAAGGGACGACAACACCAGTCGTCAGACGAGTGACGCCGGACCAGATCCAGGCAGGTATACCACCTTTAGTACGTATTCATCACAATTAACATACTTATATACAAAAAAAAAACACCTGCATGCTTATATTGTTTTTATAAATCTGAGTATAACCCTACCATGCGGTCTCCGAAACCGGAAAGGGGGAGGGGGGGTACATGAATTTGCAGTCTAGGCTTCCTGAACACCTACGCTCTTTCTTACCACTAGATAACTTGCGTATAATAAAAGGTCAAACACAAGACCCTTGAGGTAAAGTTAAATTGACATTATTTAACTTTTCTTCATAGCCTATTCTCGAAGATAAGTTCAGAAAGGTATTTTATATTTACAATTGATCCTCAAAATCTGAAAATATTGCACTCCTCTTCATTTTTTATTACATGTATATCGTATAAAAGGAACCTCAGAGCGATAGAGATTTAATAGCAATATCAGGTTGGCCATTGCCTTCGTTCATCTCGAAACAATACTTTGTTACGTCTTTCAGCCATCTGCCATCTGCATTTTTCTGAGGATGAAAGAATGTTAGATTATCGGTATTGTATTTTACATTCTATTATTTCGTATTTTAAACCAAAGATCTCAAGGTCCATGTTTCATTTCAAGCTATATTCATCGCTCCTGTCTATACCACCTTTTGAAAGAAAATATTGCTTGGAGGCTTGTAGGTCATGTATTTTTTTTATTTATTTTTTAAATAAATCACGAACTGTTCATTTTTTGACGTTTAACTAAAAAAAAATCGGGAGACATACGTAACACGACCTGTTCATTATGATCTCGCCATTGCGTCATCAATATTACAAGATGGTGTATGTTCGCACACAATAAACAAGTGTTACATGTGTCAGCAACGTTAGATATAGACATGTATGGGGTTTCAAATTTATGATATACATTTTCGATGTGCTTATCATATTTTCTGCAAAGTCATTATAGAATCATTTAGGATTCTATTAAAATTCAATTTGCTTCACAAAAATCCGACAGGATAACAATAACTGACAGAAAGCTTGATTTGTTATGACAGTGTAATTACGACATTATCGGCGTTAGGGTAGCCTTAGGGTATACTGGCATTAAAATATTCGGAACCCATTCTGATTTTATCAATGGACAACAAGTGAGTGTTCCGGTTGCTGTAAGTAGTCTTGTGTTAAACATACATGTATATTGCATGGCACGATTTGTTTTATCTAAACATATTGTGTTTCCTTGTGTTCGAAACGGGATAGGACACAAGTTATACAACTTATACAAAGCCCTTTCCGTCATAAATTACAATTATAAAACTAACAATGTAAATACCATATTTATTTACATGTTATGATTGGAAGAATACTGGCAAATTAAGAGGGGGGTATGGGGGATTTAGGGTGGGGTCAGGGCTGGGGATAGAAGGGGCATGGAAACCGCCTGTGTCACGACTGTACACTGAAAGTCACCATATCCCGCTTTCTGCGGTATATAATAATAATGATAATAATTCGAGGTTCTTATATACCGCTTTATCACAACCTAGTTCGAAGATCGTCTAAAAGTGGT